ACAAGCGTTCACATCGAAGGGATGAAAATTGCCTTCGAAGATGAGGGTAATGGACATGTTGGATCGAAATTGTTTATTTTTTATTTCTTAAATTTGTCGCTGAGAAATATAAAATTCGTCGATTTACACTGTTTCTCTATTTCTAATAGTTTTCCAGATATTAGACTAGAAATATGTATATTTACTACCTCCAACTTTGAGAGCGATTTTCACCACTTCACTGTGAATGATTACCGATAAAAGAAAGGAATGTGTCAAATACATATTACTATATACCAAAGTTTCATCAAAGTCGGTGGTTATCACTTCGGGATGTTCCCTTGTTAGTGGTGTTTCGTTCAAATTTTGGGGGTTGATTGTTTGGTAGTGCTATTCCAAACAGGTTGTGAGTAGGTTTTAGGAGGATTTGGTAGAAAGAATAGCGATATACGAACTGGATACATCTTAGGAGAGGAGTAGAGAATGCAAAATACCAGTAACATAATATTAATACTACATTCAGTATATTGAATTAGCTGTGGTAATGTCATAAATACTAATTGTGGAAATTTAAGTAAGGAAAGAAACGTATAGTGCCTTTTAACGCCACCGATTTACAAGCGATGGAAACGTTTGCATAGACCTAATACATTATAAGGGTGATATCTGTTCTTATAACGTATCTAAAATGTAGGAAAAATTGAAATGATTCTGCAACACTTAAGACCTTTGAAACAGAGACAATTTCTGAACGAAAAAAGCTACTTGTCTAATGAGAATAGATTGTTTCAAGATAATAGGAAAAATTTATGGAAAATGTGCATTAATATTTTTCAGAATAATTGAACCCTTCATATTTCCATTACATAATTACCTTCGTTCGGATAATATAGTCCCTACTTCGAAATCCTCAAGTGTCGCAGAAATATTTTAATTAAAATACGATCTTAATTACGATGTAACTTTCTATTTAAAATTCGCGGTTAAGAAGAGAAGATTCGAAGAATTGAAATTCGAAGTATCACGAAAGTGTAAGAGAGAATTCCGCGAGGTACTATTTCACAGTTTCCACTTCCTTCTACATTTTCCACGTTCGTTCGATGGATTCTCCGCTCCTCCCACGCCGGAGGCAACGATTCCAGTGGAAAGAGCAAGATGGAATCTACTGGTTCAGGAACCGGAAGCAAAATAGAACCACGGCAGTGGTATCGTGCACGAAGTGTGACACAATATCCGCGATACAATTGCCGTGAGTTTTTCCTCTCTTTCACTCTGCTTCTTTCTCCTTTTTTTTTTTTTATTGCTTCCTGCCCGGTACTCTGAAGACATTCAGATGTTCGCGCAGCGGACGTCCTTGCTCCAATTCAAGTGCTATGGAAACTTCGTCGGATTGTAAACTTTCCGGCCATTCTGTCGCGGGATTAACGTGTACGATTGCTTCGCTCTTGTTTGCTTCTTTAATTCCCAGGCAAACTCAAGGATGGAGGAAGTTTTGATGAAGATGTCGTTTACTTTTTGCGAATACTTTTTAATAAAATTCAAAGTGATCTGTGTCGCGACGTCTCGCGTTTCCTTTCTCACACGTTGAAACAGTGGAGATATCGGATGATTAATTATTACTTCGATCGAAAGTTGAAATTTCTATTTAAGATAGAGATTCTTTGCAAAATTTATGATAAAAATAACGCAATATTAATGATAACAGCGTCAAGTGGTTCTTTAAGAAAAACTCTTCAGATATTTGAGGATGACAGAGATGTGCAATAGTTCGTGTTATTTTCTGAAGTGTCTGACCACCAACAGGTTCATTCCACTAGTAAACTTGTCTACTTGATTTCCCTGTTGCTGTCAGGTTGTACATGACCTCGCATAGGGCTACAACACTATATCAGGCATATTACACTTGTCAGACCCTAGACAAGATTCTACTCTGCATGTCTGCACACGAACAGTCACGTTCTACTTGCTCGACCACGCGTGATTTCGTCCTCACCCATTTGCCGCATCCCCGATAATCTTCCGCTTGTCCGATCATCATCGACCACATCTACTTGTTCTTCTGTTACCGCATACCAAACTGTCAAACTCCCTCTTTTTCTCTCTCTTTATTTTCACTGATAAAAAATGCAGCCTAATTTACCTAGTAATTAAGTCAATTATACAGGGTGTCTCGCACCGGTGTACTCCTGTAATTCCAGAACAGAAAAAATCGTTACAATTTTACAAAAGAAAGGAAATTTTTTAAAAGTTTCCAACACAGCTTTTAAGCGATGTTCCCGAAATGGAACGATATTTTTATCCTTGCGAATTCTATTATTTAAAAACGGATATCGAACGAGTGCATAAACGTCAGAGAAAATGCTGTTAAGTCAGACAATGTTTGATCACCGTTCCATTTCAGGAAACGTCTCGCTGAAACAATCTGGCAAAACGCGTCCCCTTAAAACGTGTAATCGCAACGTACCATAAATTGCTCGCGCTGGAAACGTAGAAGACAGTGTTTAAGGTTTACTTTGTAGATCACTGCACACTGTCTCGTCCCACGCGGTTTTCCAGCGAGTCGAAACGCTTCGTTTCGCCTCACCCACGCGGAGTAATTCTACCTAATTGCTGAACGCCGTCGATCGCGAGCTAGCTAAGCGTTTCGCTCTCCCGTGCGTTGAACGCGGAGTAAAAAGGATGACGTGAGTTGATATTGTCGCCGGGGCCTACGTCTCCTGTCTCCAAGGTGATACATTTTTAAAAGCGTTCCTTCAGAGGATGTCGAGCGAAGCGTCGAATTAAACCTGTCCCTCGGCTGACTGACGCTTCCGGCGTGAAGCGTTCTACCGTCACTCTCTGCACAGACATTGTCGACCAGGTGAACTGAAAGAATTTCCATTTCGTGAAACGGAGAATTACGCCCGGGGAAGGAAACCGTGGTCCCTTTAGTGGAAATGATCCTTCGTGCGCCGACAACGTTTGAAGAACGAAAGGAAATTGGATACTTTTTCTGTTTTCGAATTGACTTTTGGGTAAGGTAGCTCTCTTCGATGATTATTTTTGGGGTTCGTTATATTGTGTCTATTCGAAGGCGACAATTTTTTCATTTAATATTCAGCCTGTTTCCTTTTTCATTCTATTTTTCTTGGTGAATTGAATTTGGGTTGAATGATAGATTTAAAGAAGGCAAGATTATTTGTGTACCTACTTTAATGTATTCGTTTAAGATTCAATTCATTTGTTCATTTAAGGTTAGCCTGATTTCTTTTCCAGATTTAAATGAGGCAAGATTCTGAATTAATTTTTTAATATCTACTTCGGAGATATGTAAAGTTCTAACTGACTGAAATATGGATTTAACTAGTATGTTAATAAGAAGGAACGATTAATACGTTCCAAACGATTCTTTACTCAAACCCACGAAGCTCACAGTTACCTTACTTCCAAGCCACCCCGTATGCACCCTCAGTATCACATATTCTTCGACATAACCAACAAGCGTATCGCGGCAATGTATCCAATACAGACCACAGCGTATCCAGTTCACCTGTACCGGGAAACAATCGAGATGCAGGGCAGATCGCGAGATAGGTCAGGCGTCACGATGTGGATCGGCGTCTCTTCTCGTACATCGATTCGATCGAAACGTTCGCGTGTTATCCTCGGTCACGCTAATTCCCTTACGCTGGGGGAAAATCGTCGAATTCGCGGAAGGATCGAGCTTAAATCTCCGGAGAAGTCGACGGCTTTAAAGTCAGCCGCAACTGCGCCAGGTCGGCCGATAAACGGGAAACTCGGCCACTGGGTCAACGACAGATGCACCCGGTGCACTTGCACGGGGGGACACCCATCCCTCTCCCTCTCCTCTTCCACCTCTGTGCATCCACCTTGCATCCTCTCTGTGTGCTTGTTTCTCCTGTATTTTCTTTTTTTTTTATTCTTTTTTCAACGTTCCTTTTTTTCTTCTCTCTCCCTCTCTCTTTGCTGCTTTTTTTTCTACCGCGTCTTGCCTCTCTTTGCTGCCTCTCACGGTTGCTGGCCGCTCGATGAATCCGCGTGTCGTGTAACGTGAACGAGAATCACTCGAGGATTTCGCGGTTGGAGAGATAAGGAAGTGAGCGGGGATGCTGGAAGGAGTGGCTGCTTTTTTTCAATCACGCCTCGCTGACGGTGTTTCAGATTTTCTTGTTTGTTTGTGGACGAGGATTGTGGAGAATTTTTTGAAACGGAGATTCTAACTTTGGGG